GGAGGATGGTGAGGTGCTGGAATCTCCCAGAGAAGCTGTGGTTGCTGTGGAAGTGTCCAGGGCCAGGTTGGACACGGCTGGGAGCACCCTGGGGTAGTGGAAGGACGAGGAATGGGATGAGTGTGGAGACCTTGGAGTCCTTCCAGTGGCTGAAGGGGCTCCAAGAGAGCTGGAGATGGACTTGGGACATCAGCAAGGAGCACCAGGACAGGGGACAACGGCTCCACAGTGACACAGGGTGGGGTTAGACAGGATTTTGGGATTAAACCCCTCCTTCTGAGGTGCTGGAATGGATTTCCCAGAGGATACCCAATCCTTGGAAGTGTCCGAGGCCAGGCTGGACCGGTGGGAGGCCATGGCAGGGTGGTGGAACAGGTGATGTTAAGTTTGAATTTTAACTCAAATTTAAATTTGAGTTTTTTATTTTCCAGATCTGTGACTGCTTTAGGGTGTTAACTCGAAAACTCCACAGCCTGTCAGCTGCTTTTTTATTCAGACAAAACAGCTCCTCTCTAGGCCTGAAACCCAAGGACACCTGACTGTCTCAGGCCCTGAAAAATGCAAACAAAAAGTGAATTGGGGGGAGCAAACTGGGGGAATGTGATTGAATTACCTGCAGGTGGAATTGGACAATTAAACTCTGATATGCAAATAGAGCAAACTTTTATCTGGCTGAAAATCTTGTGGGTTTTCATCCCACCTGGGTGGGGCTCTGCGAGCTCCTGCACTGCCCAAGGTGCACCTTTGAAGGCTTTTTAATAAATAATTTGATTTATCCTTCAACTCTGGCTAGTCTCTGTTCTAGGGAACCTCTCCAGGCGTCACCGGGTGAGTTTTCCTCTCCTTTTCCATCCCACAACTCCACCAAACCCCAAAACATTCCCAGAGCTTCCCAAAATCCCCCCAGAGCTTCCCAGAACCTCTCCAGAACCTCCCAAAACCTTCCCAGAACCTCTCCAGAACATCCCAAAACCTTCCCAAAACCTCTCAAAACCTCCTCGAAACCTCCCAAAACCTTCCCAAAACCTCTCCAGACCTTCCCAAAACCTTCCCAGAACCTCTCAAAACCTCCTTGAAACCTCCCAAAACCTCCCCAAAACCATCCCAGAATCTCTCCAGAACCTCCCAAAACCTCTCCGGAACATCCCAAAACCTTCTCGAAACCTCCCAAAACCTTCTCAAAACCTCCCAAAACCTCTCCAGAACATCCCAAAACCTCCTCAAAACCTCCCAAAACCTTCCCAGAACCTCTCCAGAACCTCCCAAAACCTTCCCAGAACCTCTCCAGAACATCCCAAAACCTCTCAAGAACATCCCAAAACCTTCTCAAAACCTCTCCAGAACCTCCCAAAACCTTCTCAAAACCTCCCAAAACCTTCTCAAAACCTTCCAAAACCTTCTCAAAACCTCTCCAGAACATCCCAAAACCTCCTCAAAACCTCTCCAGAACATCCCAAAACCTCCTCAAAACCTCCGAAAACCTCTCCAGAACATCCCAAAACCTTCCCAGAACATCCCAAAACCTCCTCAAAACCTCCGAAAACCTCNCCCAAAACCTCCTCAAAACCTCCGAAAACCTCTCCAGAACATCCCAAAACCTTCCCAGAACATCCCAAAACCTCCTCAAAACCTCCGAAAACCTCCCCAAAACCTCTCCAGAACGTCCCACCCCCTCGCCAGCCCCTCTGCGGAGCCTCCCAGCCCCTCGCCACGTACGCCGTGGTTGCCGACCCACAGCATCTCCTCGTGCAGGTCGAAGTGGGCGACGGCGGCGGGCACGCCGACCTCAGAGACGGCCGTGTGCAGCTCGCTGTACATGCCCTCCAGCAGGTGCACGGGGTCGGGCACCGGGAGCCCCTCCAGGGCCACCCCCTCGGGGTCCAGCTCCACCAGGCTGGGGGGCAGGTGAGGGTCCAGCACCGGCTCCAGCGCCGGGTGCAGCGGGGCCGCGAACTCGGCCAGCGACGGGGTCAGCCCCTCGAAGTTCATGGTGGATCCCGGCCCTGGAGGGGGGACAGGGACCGGGGAGGAGGCTCAGGGACACCTGGGGACACCTGGGGACACTGAGGGACACTGAGGGACATTAGGGACACTGAGGGACACTGAGATACACTGAGGGACATTTGGGATACTGAGGGACACTGAGGGACAACAGGGGACACTGAGGAACCCCATGGGACACTGAGATACACTGAGGGACACTGAGGGACACTTGGGACACTGAGGGACACTGAGATACACTGAGGGACACTGAGGGACACTGAGGGACACTGAGATACAGTGAGGGACACTGAGGAATATTTGGGACATTGAGGGGCCCTCAGGGACACTGCGGGACATCTGGGGACACTGAGAGACATTTGGGACACTGAGGGACACTGAGGGACACTGAGGGACACCACGGACACTGAGGGACACCACGGACACTGAGGGACACTGAGATACACTGAGGGACACTGAGGGACATTTGGGACATTGAGGGACCCCATGGGACATTGAGGGACACTGAGGGACCCCCATGGGACACTGAGAGACATTTGGGACACTGAGGGACACTGAGGGACATTTGGGACACTGGGGGACACCAGGGGACACTGAGGGACACCTGGGGACACTGAGAGACATTTGGGACACTGGGGGACACTGAGGGACATTTGGGACACTGGGGGACATTTGGGACACTGGGGGACACCAGGGGACACTGGGGGGGACTTGGGGACACTTTGGGACCCCGTGGGGTGCCAAGGACACGCTGGGACCTCGTCGGGCACCGTGGGAGCCCGTGGGGTG